ACAACAAAATCGATAAAAATATCGGTAACAAAGTCGATTATAATATCGATAGCAAAAACGATAAAAATATCGATAACAAAACCGATAAAAATATCGATATCAAAATCGATAAAAATATCGATAACAAAATCGATAAATAATCTATAATAAAATCGATAACAAAATCGATTAAAATGTCGATAACAAAATCGATAAAAATATCGATCATTATATCGATAAGAAACGGAAAATATCGATAGAAAAATAAATAACAAAATCGATCATTATATCGATAAGTTCCGAAAGTATCGATAACAAAATCGATAAAAATATCGATAACAAAACCGATGACAAAATCGATTAAAATGTCGATAACAAAATCGATAAAAATATCGATCATTATATCGATAAGTGAAAATATCGATAGCAAAATAAATAACAAAATCGATCATTATATCGATAAGTTCTGAAAATATCGATAACAAAATCTATAAAAATATCGATAACAAAATCGTTAACAAAATCGATAACAAAATCGATAAAAATATCGATAACAAAACCAATAAAAATATCGATAACAAAATCGATAAAAATATCGATAACAAAATCGATAATAAAATCGATAACAAAATCGATAATAAAGAGATAACAAAATCGATAAAAATATCGATCATTATATCGATAAGTTCCAAAAATATCGTTAGCAAAATCAATAACAATATCGATAAAAATTTCGATAACAAAATCGATAAAAAAACCAACAAAATATCGATTATATCGATAAGTCCCGAGAATCCCTAAAATCCCGAAATAGTTCCGAGATTGAGTCTCTGTGCCTTTATCTATATCCTTTTCTCTACAACTACCTTTATTTTAATCTTTCTTCCTCTATCTTCATCTATACTTTTATCGGTATCCTCATCCGCATCTTTTTCTTTATATTTATCTTTGTTTTTATTTTTATGTTTATCATATTCTTCATATACATATTCCCCTTCACCTTTGCACTTATACATATAAGTAAAGTGTTTAAATTTACCTTGGTCTTCATGTTTGCCTTTATCTTTACTCAACTTTGTTTTTGTGTTTATTTTTACCTTGGCCTTTATCCTTTTCTTTATCTATGTACGTCCTCACCTTTACTTTTATTCTTGGATTGGACTTTTTCTAAATGTTGTTTCACTTCGAAAAGTCTTCGCGTATTATGCATACATGTGTTCATATACAGTGACGAGCAAAACTGTAACATGATGTAACACTTTTTATTTCAGCCACCGCTATCTTTCATAGTTCTAACGACTTTCACACTTTTGTTCTATATTCTTATTGGTACATCCCTACTCCCGCTCTCATAACGATTTGAGGTCAATCCAACAACAATAAAAAAACCTGGAGACAAAAATGAAAGTTAAGGCAAATGTTACAGTTTTGCACTCATTCTCAGTTTTGCATTTTACAGTTATCTTTTGCTTAGTTGGAAGTCAGATGACTTTTTTCTGTATTGTAATTTATTCAAGAAGTGATCACCAATAAATAATATGGTTAATCAGGAAACATAAATGTAAATAATAGATTTACTGCGACAAGGCGGGACCGTAGGGAAAGTGGCAAAAAAATGTGGAGTTTGCCACATGAAAATGTTAAGACTGAGA